TCATTTTCATAAAACACGATTAAGCATGGAGTAAGTACAATTCAAAAATTTTTTTATTAGTTTTTTTACTTTCTTTTTATTTTTGCCTACACACGTATAGTGACTTACAAAAATATTCGGAAATTGAAAAATATAACTAACTTGATTTCGGCACTATATTTCGGCACAATATTTTGGTTATTTATAAACCAATCAATCAGCCTGGTTATTTTTTTTCCAGAAAATGAATCAATACCAGGAAAAATCCTAATATTATGATGATTTTTCTTCTGCAATTTCAAAAAACTATATATGGAATATTACCAAAAAATATATAAATATAAATATAATAAATATAAAATATAAATTTAAAAATATATATAACAAATGTCATAAGAAATGGAGTTATGAAAGTTGATTATAAAATAGTATTTAATTTTATATTTATAGTATTTAATTATTTTTTTAAATAAAAAAAATGTCGATTAAATTCATTTATTTAATAGCATACAAACCTCTTTAATATATGTTTAAATAATTACAGTTATTCTAAACAGCATAGAGTCATCTATTTTCAAAAGCAATTAAATTCTTTTTTTCAGAAGGAAAACGAATTATTTAAAATACAACAGTAATTGATACTATATAAATGTTCAAATTAAAAAATTGCTAATATCAGTTAACAGATAATATTACCACTTTAGAATTCTCAAGTTATATTGTTTTCTAACTAATTTTTTGTTTTTCATGTAAAAAAGATGAAATTAATTCAGCGATTTTTGAAAATAATAACATGTTTATAAAATATTTTATTAGAATATTTATGGAATATTCTATAAATATGTATAAAATATTATGTAGAATATATAGATAAATTATTCTATTCATAGTAAAAAAACATTTATGGTAGTGTCATTTGAACATGAATATACTATAAATACATAAGAATGTACTATAAAATATTTGAAACATTTTAGAAGAATAATCATTGAAAGTTTATAGAAATAGTTTATAGTGATATTTTAGATATTTTATAATCAACAAAAATTTATACTGGGTTAAAATTTACAACAAAATAATTAAAGTTTATATTTCTTATAATAAAATTTACATGAAAATTTCAAATTTTAAAATTAAAGTTTTAAGCTATATAAAGAATATACGATAAAACTTGATTTATTTTAAACTATTCTAAATCACAAAACTAAAGATTTCGAATTCCGACTTTTTCGCGCGACCCATTTTTTCTATTTTTAAATGAGAAACGATCCTGCTTAATATTTTTTATTTAGATAGTACATAAATAATACAAAATCATACTTTCCAATTTCTGTTTTTATATATATAGAAAGTTTTATACATAAATTCGAAAAATTTAAATTTCAATAAATTTGACAAAATAAATACAATTTCGAAATCAATCATATTATCTTAATCCGTATTGTTTGTCTAACAAGAAAATATATGATTGATAGGAATAATATATATTTTCTAAGTATAAAAATTTTACACATAAAACTTACCACTGTAAAATTTATACTTTCCCAAATTTTTATCGTCCTATAATCAATATAAAAATTAATTTGAAAAAATGTTAATATTACAATTCAAAAATATACGATGTTCGTTCCAGTTCATTCAGCGAACTCTAGCGGATATTAGAACTATTATATAGTGTCACTGTATTATCGACAATAGTCTCTTTGGATATAATATTTTATAAATATTCTAACGCATTTAAATTTCTACTCTGTAATCTCACATTGGTTAGAAAAAACGAAACTTTTAAACTGAACTGCTAGTTAGCGCTTCAATCGCTTTATTTTAACTTGACGTTCTTTTTCATGACATCATTATGCTCGGTACTGCGTAAAAGTACGGATATAAATCACATGGAAATAGAAATCAATAAAAATAGAAAGAAAACTAATATTTTATAACTTTTTTAAAAAAACTAATTTCTATTTCATTAAAAATATTTATTATATTCATAATAAATAAACATGTTATATCATTATTTGTACGATAACCAATAGCATTGCTCGACCTATAAGAATTCTCGAATACAATTGATTGGCCGATGCAATTTATTTATGCCAATTGTATGCAATGCAAAAATAATTTAATATGAGAAATAAAAGTTAAATAAAACAATTACATAGTAATTGATATTAAATATATTAACGGCTTCTAAGGCAAATTATTATTACGTCGATAAAGTACACCTATGTTGACATTAAAATTTAAATGGAAGCCAAGAAAGAAAGAGAATAATAGGAAAGAAAACAAAAAAAATATATGTTTAGTGTTTTAAATCTATTCTTTACAAATTTAAAATTGTCGTCTAGATGTTATATTTAATTCTGTTTGTCGATAAAAATATCAAAACGTAAAATCTGTTTGTAAACAAATTTGTTATTTTTGTCAAGGTTCTATCTACAATTAATATATATATTATAAAATATATATGTAGACATATGTTACTTATCTATAGCGAATGCGCAATCGCCTACAAACGTTCATCCATCCTGCAGTTCATGTGTAACCTCGTTGCAGATTGTTTTGAAAAAAGAAACTGACAAAGTGTGTCCTTTGTTAAAAGAGTATAGATAACGTGAAATTATTAAATATTACATATACACAGACATACATATACATTTTTAACGCGTAATTAAAAGGAAAAATAAAAAATCTAACGAAATCATGAGTCTGGTAAGACAAAATTTTCATAAGGAATGCGAGGAAGGATTAAATAAACAAATCAACATGGAATTATATGCAAGTTACGTCTATTTGTCCATGGTATATAACAATTAATATATTATAAATTAAAATATTTTTGTTTCTTTACATTTGTTTTTTCGGGTTAGCGTGGGGAAAGGGCAGAAGTGAATAGATATTACACATTGTAGTATTTCATCCCTTTTTGTTAACAATGAAGTACTAACATTTGCGTAAAGTAAAGTTATATGTCAAGTCGTCTCTGTAATTTCGAGTCGTCTAGCATTTATTGATCATTTTCAGGCGTACTACTTCGATAGAAGCGACGTCGCATTGCCGGGTCTCTATAAATACTTCAAAAAATCTTCCGACGATGAACGCGAACATGCAATGAAATTTTTAACGTATCAGAACAAAAGAGGCGGTGATGTTGTTTTTTACGGCTATCGAAGCACCGGCGAAAAATGATTGGTTGTCTGCGAAGAATGCCATGACTGAAGCATTGAAATTGGAACAAAAAGTTAACGAGGTACGTACGAATTAAATTGTATTCCTTAGTTCCAAACAAGGAAAAAAAAGGAAAAAGAAAAAAATGTGCATATGTGCGTGTATATGTGTATACATAATATTTCTTATTTCATGTGTATCGACAACGATTCTTTCGATATATTTTCACCTGTATTATTTCTTCTCTCTCTCTCTCTCTCTCTCTCTCTCTCTCTCTCTCTCTCTCTCTCTCTCTCTCTCGTCTCTCTCTCTCTCTCTCTCCTCTCTCTCTCTCTTCTCTCTCTCTCTCTCTCTCTCTCTCTCTCTCTCTCTCTTCTCTCTCTCACTCTTCTCTCTCTCTCTCTCTCTCTCTCCTCTCCTCTCTCTCTCTCTCTCTCTCCTCTCTCTCTCTCTCTCTCTCTCTCTCTCTCTCTCTCTCTCTCTCTCTCTCTCTCTCTCTCTCTCCTCTCTCCTCTCTCTCTCTCTCTCTCTTTACGAAGTAAAGAGTGTCCGCTTCGCATGCGGAAAGTCCTGGGTTCAAATCCCAGCTCCTCCAACGACCAAATTTTTTTTCTTTTTTTTTAATTCTATATTACCTTCTCTCCTGTCACAAATTTCTTTTTTCTTTTCTTACAATGTTTTTATTTTTTAATCATTTCTATAAAAAAAAAGAAAAGAGAAAAAGAATGAATCATCTCATTATTACATTTATAACATGTTTCTTTTGTTAGAGTCTATTGGAATTACACGCCATTGCTGGAAAACATTCCGATGCAAATTTTATGGACTATCTGGAGACAGAATTTCTTCAAGAACAAGTGGACTCGATCAAGGAAATTGCCGATTACGTTACAAATCTCGAATTGGTGGGGGATGGCCTTGGGATTTACGTATTCGACAAGGAAATGAAAGAGTGAAATGACATTTTCTAGTTTTTCTTTCCCTACGAAATATAATTTTCAAATACATCACATAGATAAATAAGTTCTGTTATTATAATCTTAACATATTATATATATATATATATACATATATATATATATATATATATATATATATATATATATATATGTAATATGTATATATACAGAGTAAATCCAAAGTTCCTGTGATTTAAAAAATTATTTTTTCTCTAAACTTGTTAGGTACATTTTTCTTTTTTTTTATCAAATTGTAATATTACAAGGCCGAGAATTTTTTCACGATTTGAAAAAATAAAAATAATTAAGCCAAAAAAGTCTCTTGAAAAAGAGTAATTGATTTTTAAAATCACCTAAAAACTTTTGGTCCTCTCTGTATAAGTATTTATATATGTATGGATGTATGCACGTACTTACTCATAAAATGAGAAATTAGAAATAGAAATGCATATATCATTGTTATCTATGATTCTACGACATATGAAAAAATGCCAATCGCATGCCTTTTGCTTTCATTCGATTAATCATAATTCATAATGATGGAATATAAGAAAATTATAAGATCAACACACACAAATGTATTTAAAAGGATAAATAGTATAAGTGCAAAATTAATGTAACAGATATTACAATATAAATTTTAAACAAATGTCGAGAATTAAATTTACGTAATAAAAAAAAATAATAAAATGTTGTCAACGTTACTACGAAGATATAACTATCTATGTAACCTCAAAATTAAAATATATCAAATTAAAAATGACAAATTATCTTCCAAGTAAGTTTTTAAATAAATAAAAAAGAAGAAAAAGATATTGTCCTTTTTATAATAATAAAACAATTTTTAGCAATTTTCTCAATACTAATATTAAACGAAATTTCATTGCAACGTGCATGAAAGAAAATTCAAAAAAAGTATTACCCGACGACAGTACCATCTGTATCGACAAACCACTTGAATGGCCGACCGGGAAAAGAGCTCATTTTAAATTTCATGAAGAAACCGAAGCTGCTATGAATAAACAAATAAATGCTGAATTTAAAGCTTTTTATTATTATTTATCTATGGTAAGAAAAGAATACAATTACAAACCATACATGGAAAAAAAAAAGAGAAACAATCTCATCATTTTGCACTTATCCCTTACATATATGTGTATATAATATACAAAAAAGGCGGCATATTTTGGGCGCGTAGATGTTGCATTGCCAGGTTGCGAATCATATTTCATGCAAATGCATCAAGAAGAACATGAGCATGCTTTAAGATTTGTCGATTATGTTAAAATGCGAGGTGGTCAAGTAATATTATGTCCGATTTTACCACCAGTTGATCCAAATTGGAAATGCCCTCTTCATGCCTTTAAAGTAAACATTTATATACAATATATTATATTTTTAATGTAATTATTGATATACATAACAAAAACAGTAATCATTTTCCCATAATCGATTCTATCCATAATCTTATCTAATTATATATAAATACATATATACATATATTTAATAAACATAATCAAAAAATAGACTGCATTGGCCCTCGAGATAGAAGTCAGCGAAAAATTGGTTGATGTCAATACGGTAGCTGAAAAACATGGTGACTTGAATGCAAGTGATTTCATTATCACAGGTTTTATGGAAAATCAAATGAAAAGTGTCAATGAAATGGCGAAATTCGTAACGGTTTTATCAGGCATAGGCGATCAAGCATTGGCACGTTTTGTTTTCGATAAGGATTTACTTGATAATCATGTATCATCGGAATTTAATGTAATTAAAAAAAAATGGCGTTTTAAGATAAATGAAAAAGTAAATGGATAAAATCGTTTATCCTTTGTGATATTCTTTTTTTATTACTGTATATGACATTATATATATATATATATATATATATATATATATATATATATGGTGTGTGTATCTATATGTATGTATGTATATATATAACTACGAAAAAGTAATAACCACGTTATATATTGAAAAAAACTTTAGTAAAATTATATATGAAAATTGGTTATAATCGATAATACAAAGTAGAATTGTAGTCACATTTAACATTCAAATATGGCGAATATTGGTAGCCATGTTTGTAAGGGCGATCACTAAAGCATGAGCAAGCGTGAGTCAGTTTATGCAATAAAGGTGGGGAAGTGTGGTGAGATATTATTTGCTTCATATGTACGACCGATTGAAATTTATTGTTTTCTATTTTAACGTCATATTTCTATAGATTTTAATAAACAATATTTCATAAACGTGTAGTTATAAGTTCAACGTGTGTTACGCAGTTTTAGATTGACGCGTAATTAACCTTACTTTTTCATCGTAAGATAAGTTTTACTTACAAGTTATCTTTTTTGATAATTACGAATGGACTCCTTTAGTTATCTACGTTTTGAGGGTAAGTTTAAGAATGGCTATTGACTTATCGAGTGGTTGTAATGAAGCTATAGAAGTTTTGGACGAGAGAGAAGAAGGTGAAATATCTTTGGAAGATGTAAGTTCCTCCGAAGAAGGACATCTCAGTTACGGATATGGGAATAAAACTGGAAGATGTATTAATTGTCTTTCCACTCAGCATTGTACGTCATGGTGTACTTCTACTAAATATTATCATCCGAAGAGTTCAAATAGAAAAGGTACGGATTGATTTCCTTTTATTCGTTAGAACGATTAATATTTTTAAGATCGTCGTGAGTTGCATGTTCCCTTATTTTAGATGTGTGTGTGTGTGTGTGTGTGTGTGTATGTGTATGTGTATGTGTATGTGTATTCATTGATTTGATATTTTTTGCAATTAGTTTGATAAAAAGATTTTTACTTTAATGTACTATATTATTTATGTTTATAAGTTATCCATCTAATGAAATAGAAGTTTATTTTCTTTTTTTTAAGATACAGTTCAAGAAAAGGAAAATCGTCATTATGCAAAAGATTCAGGATCTGCAGGAATTAAACATAGCTCTTCTACGCTACAAGAAAAGAATGACGATCTTGTACCTATTTCTAGCGATAGTGATATGGAGATTGTTGGTCTTATGGATAATTCTAAACAGATACATTCTTTATCAAGATCAAGAAGTAAGAAAAAGAAAAAGAAGGAAAGAACCCATGGATCTAGTATCAATGATGATTTTGTTTCTTCTTCTTCCATCGATATAACTGCAGGAGAGACTACATTAAAACATGATAATGACAATTCTAAAGGAGATCGTTTGTCTAGATCTCATCGTAGAGATTTAAGTCCATTGCATAGGAGCGTTAGATCAAGATTATCTACAAAATCTCCTTCTAGAAGATATAGAGCATCTATGTGGTTCAAATTGCCTCTTAGGAAATCAAAATCACCAGTCATGCGTAGTAGATCACCTGTGTTAAGAAGATCTCCTCATAGATCTCCGCACCGATCATCTACAAGAACGATATCAAAAAAGATGTCGAAAAACGAACAATTGCCTTCTTCTAATGCTTGTACTGACAATGTGTATGGTAATGTAAATAAGCTATTAAAGAAAATAAGGCATATAGATTCTGTAAGAATTCGAGCACAAGAAGGAAATATTAAAAATAAAGAACACTGTTCAACATTGAAAGAAAAATTATCAAATACGATGAAAGGTATGTCAGACAATAATGGCAATGTAACAAATTGTACCAAAGAGAAGACAGTTACGTGCGTGGAAATGAATAATGATGCCGACGATGAAGAGGATTTAGCATTATTAAGACAAAAAGCATTAGAAACAAAGCAAAAACGTAATGATAAAAACAATGAACAAAGCAAAACAGAACTTGAAAATAAAATAGCCACTTATGACGATGATCACAATGAAGAAGATTTAGAATTGCGTATGATAGCATTACGTTCTGCTGTACTGAAGAAATATCAAAATGAAGTACAGCGAAGTGTAAAGACTAAAAGATATGATAGCTCTACTATTTCTCATAGTAAAAGTCCATTTACTCAAAGCTTTTTGGATAGTAATATACCTATACCAAGTGAAAAACGTGTTGAAACACCACCGGTTACTCAAATGTTTCCTGCTTTAAATGAAAATACACATACTGAAGATATGGAGCTAGATACTGATATTGAACAGGAAAAAGAAAAATTACCATACTCTCCAACAGATAATATTACTATAGATATACCCTTGGACACAGAGCTTCTAGGGATACAACCATCTGATGTTTCGTTTATTAATCTTAACAAAATTAGTAGTCCACCTTTCGATAATACAAATAATCAATTGGAACACAGGGCTGTACGAACAGGAATTATTGAGAACAAAAGCTATTTATCAAATATGATGAACAATACAAGTACTGAAAATACGTTTTATGATATGAATCCTGATGCTCCTTACTCTCCGTCTGATTCCATTGAAACTAGCAAATCTGATGTTATTGTTACAAAACCATGTCATGAATCTATATCTACCTCGCAATTTAATGACATGCATTGTAATATGATGAATGACATATCCACTAATGAAACTTGTATCGCAATGGATATTAGTACAGGTCAAGAGAGACCTTATTCGCCGACTGATGCACCTATATACGATCTTGATTTATCGCAAACGCTTCCATTAATACAAACATCTCATTTTTCAAATAATTCTAATCTAACATCCACGCAGGCGATGTACGATACTTACGGAAATTCGAATATATTAAATATGCACGAAAAATCACAGTTGCAATATTCAGCTACAGGAGAAAATGTACATAAAGAAATACACGTTAACGAAGTTGAGAGTTTTATTACAAGAAAACAAATCAATTCTCCCCATTTCTTTGATGCTGATTCTATATCTCCTATTGATTCAATGTTAACAATTGATGATATTCCAAATACAGATGTTATTAAACCAAGTACACCAATATCTGCATCTCTGAATTCGGAAAATACAGAAAGTATGTTAAATAATCCTATTCATAAAATAACGAAAATTGCTGAAGAACCACTCTATATGCATGGTGTTCCAGATGTTACTAAAGATATAAATAAAATTCCTACTCTTATCAATAGAACATTAGTTCCTGCAACAATTCTAAAATCGAATAAACAGCTGCAACAACCATTGCCTATAAAGAAACATGAAAATCATGTTGAACCAACATTCAAAAGTGCCGAAATGCAACCAATTCCTATTGATTTCAATATCAATACAAAATTAAGTACTCAATTCAAACCTATGAAGCTTACATCTGTTATAAAAAAACCGCAAACAATATTAACTACACCTATAGCATTCCAAAGTTGCTTGAATGATGAGAGTACAAGTAACGTAATAGAGGATGCATTTGTTACTCCATCCAAAGAACATGAAACTAGTTCTTTAAAAAATATTTCGTTAGTAAATTCAAAAAAGGCTGTTTTTATTAATAATATAGATTTAGTGCCTAAGAAAAAGAAGCGTACAAGGAGATTTAGGCGAAGAAATAATGTTACTCAAAATATTAATATTAAAACTTCTAGTGAAAATGTAGAGAAATCAGAGCATGATTCAGGTGCACCAGGAGAAACAAATAAAACTATGATGAATACAGAAAGTGGATTACCATGTAGTGATATTCATGAAAAACAAAAAAATATATCCGATGCTACAGTTCTTGCTGATTTCGACAATGTGAAATTAACAAAATTGAGTCAAGAAAGTAATTCATTGTTGATATTGGATGAAAATTCTGGAAAAAACTCTGTAAAAAGTAAAGCTTCATTTTCATGTAATGAAATACAAAAGGATAATATTGTACAACATTCTACAAATTTAGAGAGTAATATTAGTTCATCACTTAAGATAATAAATGATCACATAGCAGTGGTTACAAATAGAAGGCCGAGTTTAGATGAAGATGAAGAAGCTTTAAGAGCAAGTTTATTAGCGTCTTTAGCAAAACGCACAAAATCTTTAGATACCAATTCTTGCAATGCATCGTTGATTACCACAACTGCTACTTTGTCTTGTGTTAGTACTGTACCATCTATGCAGAAAACACAACAAATGGATACAGGAACACCACCACTTACGCATCAAACAGTTCAAAATGATACTACACTTCATTCATTAACACAATCTGCATCCGCATATAATTCCGGAGATGAAAAAAATCACACATACACTGTGCCAGTATCATCTGCTGATGTAAAAGAAAATAGTATTGGCATTAGTACTGATACATCTTCTTGTTCGTTATTAATAAATTCTAGTAAGAAAAGACCACTTCCTTTGTTAAAAGGGCCATCAAAAAAATTTCTTAAAAAAGTCTTAATTCCTGCAAGTACAAAAGTTGTAAATAATGCTAAAAAATACCAAAATGCAGTAGTTCAAAAGAGATTAATTTTACAAAAGGCAATATCTAATTATAATGCTGAGAAATTAATAGATATTAAACCAATTGCTAGTGTAAAGTCTTGTGAAAATAAATGGACAGGCAATACAAAAATCATATCTTCAGATACGCAACGTATTGTGATAAATTTAGGATCTGACACTGAGAGCGATTCAGAACACGAACGACTCAAAGCTATCCCTATGTCAAATTCAAATAAATTAGAAAAACGTCCGATTTTAACAATACCTACAACAGAGTTTGAAAAAAGCGTAGATCAATTTTTAAGAGATGTTAGAAAGAAACAGGAAACTGCAGCAGCAAATAAACAAACTATTCCTTTACATAATGTAACTAAAAAGAACTTGTCATCTGTTACATCTGCAGAAAGTAAAATTTCTCCTACTGTTCATACACCCTTGGTAAGTTATATATATAATATATAATATATAATATATAATATATAATATATAATATATAATATATAATATAATATAATATAATATAATATATATATATATACATATATAAGGAAAAGTTATATATATATATAAGGAAAAGTTAGAAAAAATTTATCATTTATTTGTGAAAATAACTTTTTAGGCAGTACGACATCTTCCAGTATCGAAGCAAGAAGAGTATCGTCGTTTGAAACAACAAATTTTAGAACGTGAGATATTAAAATTGCAGAGATCAGTAGAAATTGGTACTTCTAAGAAAATAAACAATTTTAATACATTACATTCCATAACATCCGATAATTCAAGCAAAGAATCATTACCATCATATAAAGAAAATCCAAATGTACTTGGGAAATTTTCAAATCTAAACCTACAGATATCTGTAAAAAATAATAATGAAAGAAATATCGAAGTTAAAAAGAATAAAAATTCCTCAACGTCTTCGACTATTCTAAATTCTGCAGATAAGACCAATTTTGGAAAACAAAGTGATGCAAATGTTATATCAAATTCCAAAAAAGGATCTCTACAAATTATTTTAAATCCTAATGTACGAATCTCTAACGAAGAAGCATCCAATCAAAATAATAAAAAATTGAAAACAACAGAAAGTAATGTTGCTTTGATAGATACACCAAAGTCAGTATCTGAAAATACAATGGGTCTGCAAGAAACAGGAAAATCTAAAATAACAACTGCTTCATTGAAAGTATTAACTAAAGACGAAGTAAATCATAGACTTGTTCAAATTCAAGTAAAACAGCACGAGCCTGATCAGGTAATAATAATAGATAACAAGACAGATTTATCTGAAAGAACAGACTTAGTACATAATAAAAACAAACAAGGTATTGATGCAAATAAAGATGAAGATAAAATTTGTATTGAACCTGATCAGGATCTCACTAAACAATATAATGAAATGGACAAAACGAACAATTTAAATACCAATTGTATATTCACGGAAAAAGATGAAAAAGAAGCAGATGTAAGCCAAAATGAAATAATTATCGATGACATAAATAGTTCGAGTATGTTAAATATGAAATTATCAATAGAACATGAGAATGTACAAAATAAAAAAACTACAGAGAAAAATCAATTATTAGTTACATCTGTGCAAGACAAAGTGGAAGATAATACAAATTTAAATTTATCGAATATTGAAAGCAGCAATGAAAGTGATTTATTGACATCAAATAAAATAGAAACAAATAAAGTAGCAAATGTTGAGGAATTAAATGAAAGTATAACAAAGGATGTTACTATAGAATTAAATTCTCTTGTTAATCTTCCAAAGATGGAGCAAGTACGACATTTAATGGAAACAGAACATAAATTAGTTATGAAAAGGTATATTAATTTTTCTCTTAAATATATATTATATCTAAAAAGAGATATTTTAATAATGAATTATTTATGATATAGGTATATGGTCTTAGACAATCTTGCTGAAATGTCAGGAGATTTACGTCAATGGGATATGGAGAGAGATTTACAAACAAATTTTGTAGAAGAAGTTAAAAAATTAAGAGAACAGTTAAAAATTGCAGAAGAAAAGTTACGAATACATCGTAATAGAATTAATAGTATAGGTCCAAAAGTAATGGATGCGCATGAGAAAATTAACAATGGAAGACGAGAATGTTTCAAATTATCTAGAATTTGTAAAGTTTTAGGTTCCAAAGTTGTAGGACAGGATTATAAGTATGAATGAGTTTTATAATCATCCTCTAAGAAAAAATTTTGCATATTAAATGAAATGATGTTTTTTTTTTTTGCTTCTATTAGAGTACCTCAGGCCGGAGCAGATCTTTTAGATAATAAGTTAAAAGAAGTTGCAAGTCATACACGACAACTTTCCAAAAAGAAAGTTCCTTCCATTCATATATCTGAAGTGTATGAAGAAGTTGTTCCGCTGAAAAAAGAATCTGGACCTAAACCTATAGAAAGTGAAATACCAGAATTTGAAAAATCTTTTACAACAGAACAACAGAATGACAATCATAATGAGAATAATAATATGATTGCATTGAAAGATGAAGATAATATATTAACATCAATGAATACTCAAGTATCATCGGATCAAGAAGACGAAGAAGATGGAAGAGATATTTCTTCATGCGAAACAAATGATACAATCAAGCACGATCATTATTACAATAGAACAACGACAGAAGTAGTATCGTGCGTAAATAATAATCCTGCCAATAAAGAAGATTGTGATATTACTCAGTGTATAGAAACAGGGGAAATAATGTTAAAAGAAGATAATTATCAGAAAAAGAAAACTATCGAGCCTTATGTTTCGATGTTGTCACATTTGAAAGTAGCAAGGTGGGTTTTACATATATACATATGAATATGTATATGTGTAAATACGCTTATGTATTTATACATATCTATACATATTTGTGCTTCTTATCCTTCTTACTTAGGAACGCGAATCCCAATGGAGTGCTTTGTCCATACGAACTAATGGGAACTTGTAACGATGGAGATTGTCAATTCGTTCATCAATCTGTCATGTTTTGTAGCCATCATATGGAGCGAAACACATTAGGAATACAAGGTGGTTCTAACCTTTAATTGCGAGTTTTAATGAATTATGAAATTATCATGAATCTCATTGTTATATACATATTTGTAAGAACGCAATATGTTTATGTGATGTCAAATTATGTTTTTTCTTTTTATATATACATATATACATTAACATTTCAATCAAATTTGTGTGCATTAAAAATTGCAGACTATATTGATCCTGACGCGGTGCATTCTGATGATCCAAGTAGAAGCAACGCCCGAAGATGGTAAGTTGTCCTCATGATGTGGCAGGAGTTCTTGCACAAATAATTGCCATTTTATCATGTAAGAAATCCGCATCTAAAATAGAAAAAAAAACAATTTATTTACCGTCTTATTTCGGGTGTCTATTATCTCATATAGACATTGGAAAACAAAACAAAATTCTTCCAAATATCTATTTTTTACGCATGTAAAGTGTCATATGTGTGTGTGTGTATTTATATATGTATATATATAAACATATATATATATACACATAAGCTACATGACGATCAGTGTGTTTAACGTATACAAAAAAGAAAAAGGGAGAAAAAAAGAAGAAATCGATGATGCGAAGACTCGAAATTGAAGAAGACGGCCTAATGACCAACACCGGAGATTCTGTGGAGTATCTTTTCATACTTCGATATACGTTACCTCATAATAATTAATTAAAAGTCTTGTACCTGTATAATAAAAATTGAATATTTTATTCCTATCTCTGTGATATATATTATTTATCAAACAATGCATGGGAGAATACTTTTGGGGATGCCAAGTATAATTATAACAAAATAATAAAGTGGTAAAAATTAAAAAGAAAAAATTATTAAATCAAAGATATTTAATTTCTTGTATAGGCATAATTTTTAAACGCCATATGTATCGCCAGGGAAATTGCCCTGAGTTTTGTATTTGTGCCAAGGTAATTTCCCACTTAAACGAAGTTCATCCCAATTATTAATCCAGTCGTTTGGACAGATAGAAGTAAAAACTCGTTTAAACCATGTGCAAGCTTCGTGTCCTTCACCAAGAATATGTTCGCATCGATAAAAATCCGTATACATGACGTAGCATCGTAATGTTTGATTTTGTTGTTGAAATCTTATTAACCAAAATTTTAGAAAGATAAATTATAAAAAGATTATTTAATATATTTATGAGATACCGTATTATTAATCAATGAATGGTAAAAAATTTACCTTGGATCTGATCCAGGAGAAGAAAGAAATTTTTCTTCTTCAAATTTAGAGTCTTCATATCTTTCTTTACCCTGTAAACATGGATCATCTTCGTACACTTCAATCGTTATTTTCTTCTTTTCTTTAGCCGGTTTTGAAGGAACATTTTCTTTTTCATTATCTATTAATTTAACCGATAATATAATTTTATCTTTGTTTTTATTAGAATCGTTTTTATTATTTTCTAATACCATATTTTTAATTAAATAAACTTTAGTCGAGCCTATATAAATAGACAAATAATTGAAATGATCAAAGATAAAAGTTCTTATTTGAAAAGACGTACGAGAATAACAAGAACGATGACTATGTTCGTATGTAATAAAAAAATATGAAAGTTTCTGAAACCCTGCAAATAGGCAAATTTTAATCATGAGAAAACAAGTATGAATGGATACCCAGTGTTACTTGTTTAGTTAATAAAACAGAGCTCTGTTACTACCTGTTCGATCGATAAAACAGACATCTAATATTTGTTCAAATGATGAAACAGGGCTTTACTATTATCTGGCTGCCGAAGGAAAAGCCTATAACGTTGCAAGCAAACTGTATTGCAGTCTGCTGCAAATGCAGAGGGTCAAAGCACGAAGTCGGTTCCCAGAAGTAGTGGCAGCAAGGGAAGAAGAATACCGGAGGAAGAAAAATGTCTTTAAGGTCATTAAGATGACAAAGATCAGACCGTGGAAAGTTACTAGGGTAGATGAATAAATCCACATAAGAATCAATAGAATGACCAATAGGATACGAATTTTGAAGGAAGTACTTACTGTATTTGCTTATGTAGGAAAGATGGATGATGGTTTAATAACTCGTGCAAGTAGAGCACGCTAAGGACATTTATGATAGTCCCAATATAATCCGCAGTTAGTTTCTTCATTTTATGATGACCAATCTCATCACGAAATTAGATTTAGAATCCTATTATGCTTTCAAGATTTTAGAGCTAAACTAAAATTTAACCCTTTGGACTTCAAATATTTTCTGGGAAAATATGATAAAATTACAAGTACTTATGAATTTATTTAATTTTTTCTTTCGTTTAAATCTACTTTATTCTAATGAATTTTAATTTTAAATTTTACATTTTACATTGTACATTTTGAAATTTTGCATGCTAATATATATTTAGAAACAATCGCCCATTCTTACCTTGATTACAGATCATAATAGGAATATATATTCTCTGATAAAATCAATCAAATTTTCGTCATTCATTATTTAACATGCTGATATCGGCTCTGTAATTTGTATTTTACTGCATCGGACGGCAACATTAAATGCACTTTCCTATACCGAATGGTTCTACCTTAGGCATTGGAAAATTACTTTAATCGCTGAAGATCTCAATTAAAAAGTAGAAGTTTGGCGAAAAAATTGTTTATTATCATTGTTTATAATCAACAAAACCGATATCCAAATCTATATTGTAATGAGGCATTGATACATGACACTCATAGACAAGAGAATAGCCAAAATATTCTTTGCGATAATGTCTTGTCCGTATATCTGTAGGTATCTGTACGATTATGTTAGGCTAAATATAAATACGTTCATAAAAAATACATTGTAGAATGTTTGTCCACGTGGTTTGAACCACGTTACGTGCGTGGCATGTAAAATATAAATGTTTCAATATAAATATAAATGTTTCTTGAAGTTTGAAGCCATGTATGGATATATAATTCATGAAACTATTTGTGAAATGTTTAATCGCAAAGATAAATAAATAAGTAGATGAAGAGTGTGACCGAAGAAAAAGAAAAAAATGAATTTTTTACTTGTATACATTTAATATATTTTATTATATTTTCTTATATATTTTTTGTATGTAGTTCGAGAGAATTGCTCTTTATTCAATGTGACAAACAAAAACAATAAATTAAGCAAACAAAAAGATTGAACATTACTGTATTAAAGCATGGTTCCTATAATTATATTTTTTTAGCTATGATTCAGATCTATAATAGGTTATGTTTTATTAATTTATATTTTGTTCAATGAGTGAGGGCAGGAGCGTATTCACGAACTTTAGATGTTGTAACACTTTTCAATTAGGAATATAAATGGCATTATAAATAAAACATATTTTAAATAATTAATATATTTTTATTTATTCAGACTTTGATTCCGTATTCAATTCCAAACTACTTTTCTTATTATTTATGTTTATAATAGAATATTCAACGGTACTTTTAATAATATCATCCAATTTCCAAAATTTATTTTCAACATTATCAATGACCAGTTGAATACAATTTTTACATTTTTCTAAAGTTACTGTACTTAATGCTTCATAAAATAATCTTTTTATGTCTGCGCATCGAAACTTTACTTTTTTCTTTGTGACGTAACTTTTTACTTTGGCCCATATCATTTCTATCGGATTTAATTCGCAGTGATAAGATGATAGCTTAAGTACAATCATATTTTTTAATTTTGCTATTTTTTTTATTGCATAAATATTGCATATCGGTTTGTACTGTTTTATAATATGCAGCAATTCAATCTTCACCATCATATCCTGAGAGAAGTTAATATTTTTATCATGCAATCATTATTTAATGTCGGCTATTTTCCGATCACTATTAGCTATTCTTCCTATTTTTCGAGAGTAGTAAGGAACGTTATCCATAATAAAGGAATTCTTTTCAAGTTTAACGAGAACATTAGTAAACCATTTTTTGAAGGTAGTAGAATTCATTTTTTCATGATAGTTGTTATTTTTTTTCGATTCAAAAATCAACAAGGCATCGTCAACGAATTCATTATCGCTACTAATATGACAGATAATATGTTGTTTGCTTTTATTTGAGGGTCTTTTTAAACTCTCATTTTAGACTCTCTAGATTGTCGTCTATTTAAACATGCATTCAATGACGAACTAGCATTTGAATTTTTCGATATTTTACTTTTAACTTGCATTTTACTTATTCACATCATCTCTTCCAAAAAATATATTTTTTTCTTAGCTTCTCTAAATTCTTTTATTTTCGTAAATAATTTCTACGCTATAAAACTATTTCTTCTTTATCGCTTAAAAAATAATTGCGTTCTATTTTCTCATTTTTAAAATCCATTTCTTTTAACAGTAACTTGTAAAACGTGGATTTTTTTAAATTTGACAAAGAAGTATTGTCATTCACAATTTTCAAAATATTTTAAATCATGGGCAATTCGTTTAGATAGAAAAAGTGATAGACTATTCGTCTTATCGTACTTTTACCGGAATCATTTATTTTATCGAAAATTCTTTGATGAGACTTTGTTCTCTTTGGAGATGATATTCTTTCTATTAAATGTTCCCTGCATATTCTATAGACCGTTTATTTTCAAAACATCACAAATTTAATAATGTAATATTATGTAAATTTTATCAATTTTACGCATTTTGTGTAAATAACACGTAATTTTGTACCTTTCAGAAACTCCTGTAATATTTGAAATTATTTTTATTATATCCTCAATAGATTTTTTAGGGTAGTTATTCAGTTCTTTTTGATAAATATTTAAAATAATGTTTTTTCCAGTAAATCTCAAATATGAATGTTGATGTATTTTTTAAAAAACAACGCGGACGTTCGACTATTTTCGTCTTCGAATGTAGAACTTGTAAAGCCCATGTTTATTTGTTTATCTCCTGACGATTATTTGTAAAAATTCTTATTCGATAAAACCTGGCACGCTAATATGAAATCGTATAACTACTCTAATAATTATTGTTATTAATACAATATGTTCTTTTATAATATATATTAAATCGAACAAAAACCAATCTGTCGTTATTTCATATTTTTGTTATAAATTTTTTAATAAAATATTTTTGAGATCATGTTTATGTGATATTTTTTTTTTATTTTTATTTGTAGAATATGCTGGCATCGTTACATAGAAAAAATAAGGACATCCTGTATAAAATAAGAATATATTATCAGTCCTCATAAATGAAAGTTCATCGACACAGAAATTGTCTAGATAATTCCTTCTCGAGGGATGACGTCACATTACCTCCACTGTTACTCTACATCAATAGATTTGCATGTATGACATGAACCATTTGCATATAGACATGAGTTATGCCTTTATGATACTTTGTCACGTTTCTAACCTAACTTTAACTTTATAATCAAGAACTACTACTATTTTCTTTTACTATACTTTTTCCCTTTCTTCTCTCGATGTGCCAACGAAGATCACCGATGAAGTGAGAAAGAATAAATTATTTTGTCTATTGTACGCAAGATCTGTTGCGCAGGTGGTTAAATATGAAACTAAATTATAAATCGTTGTATATAACTAATAAAAATAGCAATAGCTAATAAAAAAAAAACTCTATATTTTAATAAAAACTGTCTTAAATTTTTAAGAATATATTAAATTAATTAATTTAGCTGACATTGAACTTTAAACTTTGAGCTTTAATTTTCAAATACTGTTTTTAGTTCCCATTTTTTTTTACTTTGCAAAAATTTGAGCAAATAATAATATAACCTTAGCACAAATCTCAACAAGACGTGACTGCTTTTATAATGTACGACGATTACGCGACATTTGTTCTCGGTAACTAGATCACGTGACTACTGGAATAATACGCCCCTGACGAGTACAATCTTGAATTTATTTAATTTAAATAGTCACGAGCGAGCGTTTGTAGACACTACAAATTCACAAGACGAATACGTTTCGATCGTATTAAATAATTTTGCCGAATCGATATTAATCCATCGTAATGTTTACGCGATTCGATTTTTGATCGTATGTCTGTATTTTTGTAATGCTCGAATAATTGAACATTGACCAGGATCAAATGTTAAAACAGTCGAATCATCTGTATTACATTACATCACTGGTGACTGATTCGTTTTTGTTTTTTTTTTAATTTTGGCAAAATCGAATGTAAATAAATTGTCAAATCTTGTCATTTTATCGTCAATACGGTTGGCGTTAGTATCGTGCGAATATGTATATATAAAACATATGCATCACGATAAAAGACAGTAAAATAACAGATTAATAACATAAAAGAACGAGCATTGATTTGTCATATCGAAAGAGAAAAAGGAAAAAAATTTAAAGACAGTAAATCTACTAATGAGAAGAAAATAGTAGTAATAGTGTTCTTGGTTATTATTAGTTAGGTTAGAATAGAGACGTGACAACGTATCATAAGGCTACACTCATGTCACGTAATGCATGTAAAATGTGGAGGTAATATCATGTATTCTCTCAAGTAGGAATTTTTTAGGCGAAAATACGTTACATAAAATTAGTAAAATCGCCATGTGTGAGAAATAATCATAATTCTATTGGCAATGTAGCAAATAAGACTTTTAACTGTATGTCGTTCTTAATTTATACTTTCGTTATATCAA